AGGTTTGCAACGTTTTTAACTCTTACGTTTTCTTCCTTAGTCATTTTTGCCCATTGTGTGCCTTATACATTTAAACAGTCATTCTCTTTTAACTCCTCGCTTTATAGAAGAAGAAAAAATGTCCTCAAATAATTGTCACTTTAGAATATCAAGAGTGTCAATTGTATGTCTAACACTATAGGATTAGAGTAGTTGAGATAATAAAAGCATGAATTATACTTTCCCTTTCTTCAGTAGCAAAGGCGGCGATGAAGAGTCCCATGAAGGTGACAATCAAAGGCACCCACCAAGAACACAAGGATCCCATAGAGAGCGATGGGAATTGCTTCAGCCCAAAACATCTGTTTGCATTGCCGCCTGATAACAGTTCGCTTGTCTTTAACTCTTGTGGATTTACCACTGAAAGTTCTGAGCAAGACTTGCTGCTGGAGGTTCCCTCTAACAGCTCCTTCCCACAAGCAGAACTACTGGCGACAACAAGTTCTTGTGCGCGAGCGAGTGCTAGTAGTAGTAGCTGTCTTTCCCCGACTCGTTTGGATATGCCGTTGAACCAATCTTTCATCCATAGGCCTATTGAAGAGTGACCCCCCATCAAATTTACTCATGGTAAACTTCTTTTTTACCTTGTTTTTTTTGCAAAATATATATTGCTGATACCTACCAGTGATGATATGATGGGCATCCCTCTTGCCATGGTTTCCTCTCTTTCCCCCCTTTCATTTGAACATATCAAAACAAAATTTTGAATATTATGGAATGAGTGGGACTGTTTTTTTTGTTTATGTTTATGTTTATTTATTTATTATTATACATAGTACATGATTTTACCAACTTTGTAATATTGTATACCATGGACCCCAACATACTTGGAAGTTGATATAAGGTGATGAAAATGAGTTTTGCATTGTACAATAATTTAGATTTGGGATCTAAAAGCATTTTACAAAATGCAGTTTTTTAATATTTGAGGCCTTTATCTTGTGTGCTGTTGTCATTTTTGGGCATTAATGTGGTGGCATTCTTGAAGATTATTTATTGGGTGATGGGTTATAGTCCTATGGCAATGCTAGTGGAACCCCACATGTGACACACCACTCTCGACACAGTGGTAAACACAAATGTAAACACAGAAACTTTCACAGACAACTATTGTTTACCTTTGGTGTCGAAATGGTGTCACAAGTGGGGCTTCCCGAGCTTTTTCCTTTGCAAAAATGTTACCCGCTCACCAAGTTACGCACCAATTTTTACATTACTCCTAACACATGTTTTTTTGGCGTGAATAAGAAAAGTAAAGAGTGAACAAGAAATGTGTGTGTGGGGGGGGGGGGGGGGGGGGG